AATGTATCATTTTGACCCATACAATGTATTGTTGGCTATTGCTACAAATATACCCCAGCGACTTAAGGCTGCTTTTGTGCTCCAGCGTCTGAATTTGGTAACAAATATAATGCATCACTTCCTTCATAAACAAAATGACATGAATAATAATAATAATAACCATCATAATAAATACGAAAACAATTAAATAAGGAAAATAATATTTTAAATAATAATAATTATTATTATTATACAATTCTATTGTTATTAACAATAATAATAATTATTATCACTAGTATTATTATTCCAAATGTTAGAATTCACACTTTGGTTTTGGTAAATTCTAAATATTAAAAAATAATAAAAAGATGAAATTTGTTATTGTTATTATTAATGCATATAATGTTTCATAGCACGCAGCAATGTGTTAATTTAAAGGCAATTAATTAATTTTAAATTACATTAATAAAAAAAACAATGTAATAAAAATAAAAAATAAATATTAAGATAAAAATTAAAATATTTTTTAGATTATTATTATTATTATTGTCATTAATTATAATAATAATACATTATAATGCATGACTAAATAATAATAATAATAATTCCATATGTTAGAATTCATGCTTTGGTTTTGCTACCCGACTCATCTAAATATTAAATGATAATAAAGAGATTACATTTATTATTGTTATTATTAATGCATATAATATTTCATGGCACGTAGCAATTTAATGTGTTAATTTAAATGCAATTAATTAATTTTAAATTACATTAATAAAAAACAATGTAATAAAAATAAAAATTAATATAAAAACTAAAATTATATTTTAGATTATTATTATTGTCATTAATTATAATAATAATAATAATTTCATATGTTAGAATTCATGCTTTGGTTTTGCTACCTGACTAATCGAAATATTAAATTATATTACAGCGATCAAACATATTATTGTCATTATTAATGCATATAAAATTATTTTGTAGCACGTTCAATTTAATGTGTTAATTTAGTACAATTAATCAATGCTAAATTAAATTAATAAAATAATAAATAAATATTTAAAAAACAAAATTAAATTTAAAATATAAAAAAAAATAATAATAAAATTAAAATTAAAACATTGTAATTATTAAAATAATATTTTATATTATTTTAGAATTAATACAAAAACAATGTGAAGGAAAAAAAACTCAATAATTCACCATAAGCTGTATGTAAATTTTGTAATAAGTAATTTTCCTACCATCTAAGGAGTAACAAGTAAAGAGTCAATGACGACAGACTCCACAATAATTTCTTATATGATATGATAGTTATATGATGAACTATAAGTCACATCCAGAGCAAGCTCTTACTTTGAAGAGTCCGATCCCGGGATCGATGAGGAGCGTCCGGCTGGATGTGGACGGCTCGCTGTCAGACACCGGACTACAGGGTTTGGACCCGTTTCCGTTGCTGTTGGCGATGGTTGCCGGGGAAACGACTGTTGTGGTGGGTGTGGCTGAGGCGGGGACAGATGCTGTGGTGGGCGGGGCTACGGCACAGGCCACACCCTCACCGTTGTTGAGGGAGGGGCTATCCGGGGGGTCCGTCTGTGAGCGGATGAGAAGCTGGACGATGTCGTTAAGACCAACGTTGTAATCGAAGAGCGTCTGACCATCTTCCATCTACCAAAAAAAAAGTATGTCAAAAATCAATTATTAGTTTTCTAAAAGAAGCAGTGCATTGTAACTTGCCAAACACATTTTGTCATTTTATTAAATAAATCTTCTGCTCATAAAGGCTGCATTTATTTGATAAAAAATACAGTAAAAACAGTCAAATATTATTCTAATGTAAACTAGCTGTTTTCTATGTGAATATCTGTTAAACTGTAATGTATTTCTGTGATGCGCAGCTGTATTTTCAGCATCATTACTCCAGTCTTCAGTGTCACATGATCTTCAGAAATCATAATAATATGCTGATTTGCTGCTCAAGAAACATTTCTGATTATTATCAATGTTGAAAACAGCTGTGCTGCACAATATTTTTGTGGAAACCGTGATACAGTACCATTCAAAATTTAAGATGCTTTAAAAAAAAAAAAAAAATTCTAATAATAACAATAATAAATACATATTTTCTCATCAAGGACACCATAATTTGATCAAAAGCGACAATAAAGACATTTATAATGTTACAAAAGATTTTTTCAAATAAATGCTGTTCTTTTGAACTTTTTAATAAAATGTATCACGGTTTCCACAAAAAAAGGAAGCACTGTTATTTTAAATTGTAATAATATTTCATAGTATTACAGTTTTACTGTATTTTTGATCAAACAAATGCAGCCTCGGTGAGCAGAAGAAACTTTAAAAACATTTAAAAAATTATTATTATATTTTAAAAATATCTAGTTAAGTATATAATTATTACATAATTAGTAATATAATATTATATATATACACACACACATACATACACATATATAAAATGATATACAAATAAAGTACAGACACACAAACAGTAGGCATCTATTTCACATTCGTTGTGTGTCTTATTGCAGTCGGGGCAGAATTACACTGAGACGTGTTGTTAGCGGCCTGAGACTGAAAGACACACGATCACAAACAGCGGACGCCATTAGCCTCGCCTTCTGCTGAATCACCACCGCAAATACAGAAAAGATTAGTGATGACGGTTCTGGTGCAAGAGTGAGTGTGTGTGTGTGTGTGTGTGTGTGTGTGTGTGTGTGTGTGTGTTGCCATAGCAACCACCCAGGATCCATTGCACACACACTCGCACGAACACACAACTGTAATTTGCACGGATGTGAGCGGGCGTGAAATATCACCGGCGTACGCGCCAGCAGCGGCGGATTCGCTGGCTTGTCTCATTAGCATGAGAATCAGAGGTGTTAGACCTGTTTCCTGTACAAACATTCGTGATATAAATCTAATGTTCATCCAGACCAGCGGGCATTTCCTCCGCAGTTCAGCATTCACTCTTCCTCATGTTGTTCTCAACCTGGATGAGTTTCTTTCTTCTGCTGAAGACAAAAGAAGAATGTTGGTGAACAAACAATTGACGGTAGCCACTGATTTCCATGGTATGGGAAAAAATACTATGGAAGTCAATGGCTACCGTCACCTGTTTGGTTACCAACATTCTTCTATCCCTTTAAAGGGATACTGGCTCTTTCAAGCTTTATTATGGCAGTGAATGGGTGTTATTTTTCAATAGTCCAAAAGACGTCAAATAAAGCACATCTATCCATACTAAAAAGTATCCCACATGGCTCCAGGGGGTGAATATAGGCCTCCTGTTGCAAATCAATGCGTTTTTGTAAGAGAAATATCCATATTTAAAACTTTATAAACAGTAATCTCCAGCTTCCGCTAACTGTCGTACACACGTTCATTCCGGCGGATGATGTAGGCGTAGCGTAAGCTCGCCTACATGATTAACATCAATGACACAGACAGGTTTATTAGGCTGCTGTCTCTGTAAGACCGAATGCACTGATCTAATATACTGACTAGACTTGTGCCGGTATTCGGTAATGCGATATATCACGGTAATGAATATGCACGATATTGTTATCGTGGGCTCTTCTAAATACCGTGAATAATTATATATTACAAGTTATTCAGAATTTTGAATGCATTTTAAGAATACTTTTCCCATCAACTGGTCAAAATGCACAACACCGCTGTATGCTGCGTGAAAGACGCGTGCGCACTCTGATGTAAACAAGCGTGGACGAGAAGCACATGGCGGAACATGTGAGAGATGCTCTGGAAAGTTGCAACTGTGTTATTTAATGAGCTAACATGAACTAAGACTTAATAACTAATAATTAATAACTTCTGTAGCAAATGTAGCTATTGCTCATTGTGAATGTTAATGCATTAACTAAGGTTAACTAATGAGGTCTTATTGTAAAGTGACACCTATTGGTCTTTATAGTTCTTTTGCACTTTAATCTGTGTAAAACTTTTAGCTTTATACATTTTTCTGTATTGCTTTATTGCATTTAAATATTCAGTTATTTTTGTTATAAGAAAAAAGTTCAATACCATGATAAAAGCATTAGCAATTAATCGCAACATGAAAATTTGATACCGGCATATCCCTAATACTGACACGCATCTGATTTCTTTCCCAATTGTTTATGTTCACTTAAACCATAACTGACTGTCTTTAAAAATGGATTAAAAATGGATTCATTTTTATTCTTACAACAATAAAACAGTACAATGACCTTATGCTTTATTCTGTATATATTATAATTGAGACAAATTTCATGATTCAATTTTGATTCACAAGCTAGCCATTGGTTTCAGTTTCGATCTTGATTCAATATCATTCATCTTATTTATATTCAATATATATTATTTGGATACATCAGGTACAGTACACATCAATCTATATCAACTAATGCTGTAAACTACACAATAAACCCTGTCACTGAAGTTTTTAAAAAACTATCTTTAGAGTAAAAAGTCTTTTTTTTTTCTTTCTTTTTTTCAAGAATTATTCTAGAATGATTACAAACAGAGCTATTCGATTTTTTTCTGCTATATATATATATATATATATATATATATATATAGCAGAAAAACTATCGCAATGTCAGATTTAAATAAATAAATAAATAAAAATAAACCCCGTCACTCGGTACATTACTGTATTAAAGTGATTTGTAAACATTTAAATTGCACATAAGGTAATTTTTATAATAAATTATTATATAATAATAATGCATTAATAATAACTTTTAATGATATAATCATGTTTCTACTCCAGTCTGTTGAAATATAAACGTTTAAACAGTGGATGTCATAAATTGTTTTATTCAAACATGCTAAATATTGAAGAACAGGTTCAGTAAAAATATATGGAGTTATTTTTCTAGCTGACTGGAGTTTATGGTCATTGAATGAGGTAAATGTGACATTACGTGACATTATTGATCTCAAGCTGTTTTATTGACGTCTTTCCATGGTTTGAACACTGATTGATGGATTCCATGATTCAGGATTGATTTCAGTGAGTTGTTCTGATTCTTCTGATGTTCGTTCGTGTTTATTTGGTGCTGTAACTAGTAGTAAAGAGGACTACTGCACACATTAAAGAGCAGCAAAACCACATTTACTGATTGTATTTCATAATAAAACTGACCGAATTTGAAAGCTGATACTTTGTTTCATATCAAAAGTAACAAAGCACAAAGATTATTGTTACAAAAAGCTACAATTAGTGTTTAGTAATGAGAACGGCATAAATCGAATCTTGGGATATAGATTTGTTTTCAACACGTTACGTGTGCAGCTTTATATAAACCTGTGTTGTAATGCAAATAAATAAAAGATCACCCTTATTATTAAAACCAATGCTTAGTTTATGGTTCACTATTATTTTTAATGAAAAACAGAACAACAACAACAAAATTCACAACAAGATTTCACCAGAAAGACACAAACAGGATGAAAAAAAAATCACATTTCAATGTGTTTTAAGGAGAAAACTGAACACGTCCAACTCAGGCTATATGAGAATTTGCAGGTAAATGTGTTTAATTGTGATGAAAATCCTGCAAAAACTCATTGTGGTCCTAAAACAGGCTTCATTTTCTTTCTGCAAAATCTAATTTCTTCTGCTGTTCTCTTTGGGGTGACAGATTCACCCAAACCTCCCAAAACACAGGAGCACAACAGTGTTAATCCTAAAAGCGCTGACATTATCATGAAAAAGAAAGACTGTCTCTACCAGCGGAATTCAGCTGAAGTTGGGAATGAGAGAGGCCTGATGGAAAATGACTCATGTTTGCTTTCCCGTCCAGATTCCAGATAATTCACTCACAACAGTCAGAGAGCAAAATAATCCGACACCACACCTCAGAGCAGAAACATCTCCAAACTCACACGCTTCCATTACTCACGTGTGTTTCCTTGAAATCACTCGCCCTGCTTCACAGACGCCTGTAAACCTGCTTTACAAAGTTAAACCCCACTGTACTGTACATTACTGATTGACCAATCAGAGCGAGCTATTCCAGAGTTCAGAATTACAGTTAAAGCCCATTCACACCAACAACACTAACATAACGATTACTGTAACAGTGTGTGTGTGTGTGTGAGTGTGTGTGTCTGAGAGAGAGTGTGTGTGTGTGTGTGAGAGTGAGCGTGCATGCGTGTGTGTGAGCGTGCATGTGTGCGTGTGTGTGAGTGAGTGAGCGTGCGAGTTTGTGTTTGTGTGCATGCGTGTGTCTGTGAGTGAGTGTGTGTGTCTGTGAGTGTGTGAGTATGTGTGTGAGAGTGAGCGTGCGTGTATGTGTGTGTGTGTGTGTGAGTGTGAGTGTGAGTGTGTGTGTGTGTGTGTGTGTGAGCGTACACACACACACACACACACACAGAGAATGACAATGCTCTGCTCTCTACACACCACCAGCCGTCCATTCCTCACACACACACACACGCAGGACAAACACAAACGGCCTGAACTTTCATTAAAGCGTGTGAAGCAAGCTCTTATCGACAGCGCTCTGCCGGTCTGAAGATCCTTCATTTGCAGCTCTGGTCTGGCTGACGCCACGCCATCTTGAGCGCAGTAAAAAGGCATGATGGTTATGTAACTCACCGGAGCACTTCACAACTTCAAATACAGCCGAGATTCGCTGTGT